TGTTTTTTTCTAATCTAACCACAATTAGATTAGAACTTTATCTTTCTTCTTTGATCTTCTTCTTCCTTCATCTTCTATAGTTCTATCATATTTCCTTTGTTTTTTTATCATCTTTTTCATCTCCATCTATTTTCTTCTCTATCTTTTCCATTACTACATAATTTGAAGCAAAATTTGTGAGAATGAAACGTGGGGAAGGATGTTCAAGCAAATTGAAGGTATGATTTTCCCTTTTTAAAGTTTTGTAAACAATTTATACATCACAAATTAAATATTGTTTAAACCTAAAATTTTGGGTTTGAATTGATTTCCCTTGATTTATTTCTGCACTGGGGGCAAACACAAAGACATAATCTGGGGGGTTTTCACAAATAAAATTAAAAATTTGGGGGGTTTTGACAAATTGGTTTTCGTTTAACAGGAGGTTTATTTTTCTGTTACATTCAAATTTTTTGGGGTTTTACAAATAAGGCAAAACAAGGGTAAATGTGTCCAAATTATACCAAATATTAGGGGTTCTAGTGTTTATGGGGTTTTCGCCAAAAAATTGAACATTGGGAGGTTTTCGCCAAACGTGACCAAAATATGGGGGGTTTTGGCCAAATTTTCCGTTTTTCCCAGAGATATCGACATTATCGATCAACTATATATGAACTAATTACATAGTTGTGTGGAGTTAATTTATGGTCTTTTTAGTGTATAAAAGTTGTAATCCTTATGACTAATGTATGAAGCTTCAATTTGTTCGTCATCAAAGAGTGTAATAATACTGTAATGTATATTGCTGATTGCATGCAAGCAAACACGTACAATTCAACATTTGAAGCACAAACACCCAAATTCCAGAGCCCGGAACATGCAAAATTGGAAAGTACTTGTGGTTGGGGCTGGTGCAATATCGATAAGTTACTATTAATAGAAAAAACCCAAATGAGCAAGGAAAACCCTGGCAAAATCAGAGCATCTTTTGTATATATATATATAGCTTCAGTAGACCTTCAAGAATCTATAAGGGTCTATTTGACTGACTGATCGATTTGTGACTAGAGCTAAAGTAACGTAATCAACAACAGCGTGCTGCCGTGCAGTGGGAGAGAGAGAGAGATAGAGAGAGAAAAGTGTAAACTGTAAAGCATACAGCATTTGCCTGTAACTTGCAAGGGGAGGAGATCGGTTAGTAGTACTAGTCAAGTTCAACGTACATGATGACAGTGATACCAATTCAATAAGATGATGTTTAATTGATCTAACCTCTAATTATAATGCAAGCAGCAAGGAGCAAGCAATGGATTCCTGCTTGATCGAGCATGTTTATGTGTGATTAGGTTATAAGGCTAATGATCATATCATCAGATCGACTTTCTTGGGTAACTTTGACTTCCCAAAAAACTACTGTACTGTTGTGTAGCTAGCTAGCTAGTACTGCTGGAGCCTGGAGATGAGATGATCGGAATCTGCAGAATAAGTAGGACATTGGGCACCTAGCTAGCTAGCTGAAGCCTCAATGCCTAGAGAGGGAAGGGGGTTACGTGGAAAGATTGATAAGAAAATATATATAGAAAAGAAGACGAATTGAAGTGATTGGACATGGATGAATGGATGGATGG